ATTCTAATTTCTTCTAGTCTCACATTAGTTCCTTGTTCTAATATTTTCCCTTCAGTAGAGACTACAATTTCTTTTTATTAGAAGTGGCTTTGGTTTTTGTTTATCAATCTACCTACCTATGAGACAGATTGAGTTCTTGTCCTCTGGTCCACTCCATAAATGCTTGCAATGCCTAGGATGGGACCAGATCCAAAACTGGTAGTAGAGAACTCATTTTGCACCTCCCATAGGTGAAGGAACCTAATTACTTGAGCCATCACCACTGCATCCCAGGGTCTACAGTGGCGTGAAGTTAGAGTCAAGAGCCAGAAGCAGTAATCAAACCAAAGCATTCCAAATGGGACACTTGTTGTCTCCACCAGAGGTCTAAATAACCACCCCAAGACTACCATTTCTTGAAACATTTTTTTCCTGCCAAATTCTATCAGAACATAAAATCTCTGGACAGATATCTGTAGAAGAACAAAATTAGCTCCCTACCTCACACCATTCATAAAAATCTACTCAAAATGAACCAAAGATCTAAATTTAAATCCTGAGACTATGATATTTCTAAAAGAAAATGTAGGGAAAATACTTCAAGACTCCTTGGATAAGAACCACAAAGTGCAGGTAACAAAAGCAAAATAAGATGAAAAGGTTTATATCAAACTCGGAAACTTCTGCATAGCAAAGAAAACAATCAACAGAATGAAGATATATCAACAAGAATGGGAGAAAATATTTACATGCTACGTATCTGACAAAGGATTAGTATCCAGAATATGTCAGCAACACAAAAATCTCAATAACCTAAAAACAACCATTGCAGCTAAGACATGGGCAAAGGAATGAAATAGACGGTTCTCAAAAGAAGAGATACAAATGTGAGCAAATAAATGGGAAAAAAATAATTCATATCACTCATCATCAGGGAAATTCTAATCAAAACCACAATGAGATATAACTTCTTCCCTATCAGAAAAGCTATCATAAAAAGGACAACAGATAATGAAAAGTATAAGGAGAAAGGGAAACTCATATACCCTGTGGAAATCTAAATTAGTGCAGCCACTGTAGAAAACAGTGTGGAGATATCTTTAAAAAAACTTGAAACAGACTTGCCATATGATCAGCAATCCTACTATTGTGGATATATAGTAAAAATTATGAACTCACTGTATCAAAGAGATATTTCTCCAGCAAGTTTATAGCGTCACTGTTCACAGAGCCAAAATACAAAATCAATCAAGACGTCCACAAGCCCAAGAATGGATAGAGAAAATGTGATATATTGATACACTCACACACAGAGTGGAATATTAACCAAATGTAAAAAGGATGAAATTGTATCATTTCCAGCAAAATTGTTGGAAATGGAAGAAACCATGATGAGTGAAATAAGCAAGACATAGAAAGACAAATACTAAGCATTTCCTTTTACACTTAAGAACTAAAATTTTTTAAACTTTTGTGTACTAGTTTTGCTGCAAGTGGAAGATTTTGTCAAAAAATTAATTTTTAAAACAGCAGTAAGAAATGTAATAATATAAGGGATTCTAGGGGTTGAAAGAAGAGGGAGGGTGAGAGGGAAAATCCCTGAGCCTATGATATTTGTATCATAAAAAACAAAATATTTTTAAAAGCAACAGTAAGAACTACTGATAAAAAGAACACAGCATCATGTTTTCAAAAATGGCTTCCTACTAGAAAAAAATATATTCTCTGTGTGCTTTATTTTGACTGATCTATATATATATTAACATTTTTCCAAACAATGAGGTTACAAAATGTAACCAATTTCAGCAAGTACACACAACATCTCAAAGCCAAGTAAAATTTTTAATGTTTTTGTTCCTGTGTGTTATCCATATTACCTTAGTGATGTGACTGGTAATACTAATAATGATGATAAGAAATCCAATATACCAAGTCTTTACTACCAGCCAAACACTTTTGATGGATTGTCTCTAATCTTGAAAGCTGCTTTTCAAGGGAAATTGCAGTCCCATGTCAAAGATAAGAGAGACTGTGCTATTTGGCCAAAACTACATAAACACTAGCATCTGAGACCAGAATGGAACTGGATCTGTTGGTCTCATAGCTCATGCTCATCCCCAACTCCATCAAAGCTTAACTGGATGAACTTGGAATTAGTGACTGTAATTAGTGATCAGAACAAGGGTCAGCAACCTTTGTCACTTGGGATAGCCACATATCAGAGTGCCTGGTTGGAACCCTGCCACCCACTAGGGAGACCTGGATTGGGTTTTGGACTCTGACTTTGTCTCAGTCCAGTCCCAGCTATCGGGAGTAAATAAGTAAATCAAAGATCTCTCTGCTTTTCATGTAAAATGAAAATAAATGTCAATATTGTTAAAATATTAAATTTTGAGATCCATTTCCTACTGCAGATCATAAGAAGGGAAAAGAAGCAGCAAGCATGATAGTGAGTGAGGAGTGATTGGTTATACTCTCCAAGCTAGAGAAAGCAACCAGGGTGATGGCTCAGTATCTAAGTTCTACATGCGCCAGGATCCCATACTGGTGCCAGTTCATGTCCTGGCTGCTCCACTTTCCAACCAGATCTCTGTTTGTGCCAGGGAGAGCAGTAAAAGATGTCTCAAAGCCTTGGGACCCTGTACCTGCAAAGGAGACCCAAAGGCAGCTCCTGGCCCCTGGATTCAAATCAGCTTGGCTCCAGCCACTGCAACCACTTGGGGCATGAACCAACAGACAGAAGATCTTTCTGTATTTCCTTCTCTCTGTTAATCTGCCTTTCCAATAAGAATAATCAAATCTTAAGGGAAAAATAGCAACCATGAAGACCACCACTACTTCACGTGCCATGATATCCACAGTGAAACCCAATACGTGTGCTGTAGTTCAGTGACTCTCAATTCATAAAATATCTATACAACCACAAAAAAAATAAATGAATGCAGGGAGCAGATGTTTAGTCAAACAATTAGTATGTCCGTGCCCTACATTAGAATATAGTATTTTGATTCCCAGCTCTAATTCCCAACTCCAGCTTCACGCCAATATATATTCCTGGAGGCAATAGGTGATGGCTCAAGTAACTGAACTCTTGCCATACATATGGTAGGCTTGGACTGAGTTTCCAGCTTCCAGCTTCAGCACTTGACCCCAACCCTAGCCACTGCAAGTTTTGAGAAGTGAATCAGGAGATAAGAGTTCTCTCTCTTTTCTTTCTCCTTCCCTGCCCCTTCCTCCTTCCTGTTCTCTCCCAAATAAGTAAAAAGAAATACTCATCCATATATAAGAGTAATTTTAAAAGTTACAGAAGATGAAATTAAGGGTTCAGCAATATGACATTACTAGTAAAGCCCTTGTCTAAAGCACCAGCATCCCATATTGGTGCTGATTCAAGTCCTGACTACTCTACTTCCAATCCAGCTCCATGTTAATGTGCCTATGAAAGCAACAGAGGATGACCCAAGCTCCTGGGCCCTGGCATCTACATGGGAGAACCAGAAGTAGTTCTTGGCTCCTGGTTCTGGCTCCTGGCTTTGCTCTAGCCTGGCCCAGCCATTGTGGCTATTTGGGGAGTGAATCAGCAGATCACAAGACCTCTCTCTTGCACTCTCTCTTTCTCTATGTGTAACTGTGCTTTTCAATCAATAAGATACATCTGCTTTTAATTACATTTTAAAATAACTTTGTTTTGCTACAAACAAATTTGAACTCATATGCAAAATTTCAAGAAAATTAGTACTATGAAAAACCATTGCATGGGTCTCAAAGGCTTTTTTTATGTTTTTCCACAAACTTATAAGTGCGCTCATCTAAGTCCCTTTCTGCAGGAAAAGGCTATCACAGTGGCACGACTTTATGCAGCACACAGTGCAGATGCCAGCTATGAGTCAGTTCATGATTCTCCTGGCTTTAAAGTATGGCATCCCAATGTAGTTGCCAAGTGCACCAGCTCCACTGCTCCCACTTCGTTAATTCTTGCCCTGCTAAACAAACAGAGAGGGCAAGCAACCCACTTGAAGTCTCACAGCCAATCACTGGCTAGCTGGGACTCCAATTGTGATAGTTGATACCAAAAGTCTACACTTAACCTTCCGTATGCCCTGTTTCTCCCAGAGCCAGATGCTTAGGTGTAAGCCCTGCAACATTTAAAGAGCACTTTAAAAACTTCATTGGAAGTAGAATTAAAAAATAAGTCTGTTTGGGTGCCAGAATTTTTAAATCCATGCATAGTGTTTTCATAATTTGCATTTGCCATGACTTTTTGAAGATCCCTCCTAAGTGTTTTCACAGACCCAAATGAGGACTTTGCCCTGGCATCCCTTGTTGGTTAGTGAACTCCTAGGGCCTGAGGGGGCGTTCAGCAGTGCTTACAGACCATGGTTCAATCACTGGACCAACTCCTTGGCAACCAAACAGCCCCCAAAAAGAGAAACACAGGGCTCCTCCCGAGAGCTCCCAGGCCTCAGGCTTCCTAGAAAGCCACTTTTCAAAGAGGCAAACATCAGCTCCCAACTGGGAACACCACGCGGGAAGCCATTTGCCCTCTGACTAATAGCTTTTCCACCTGAGCCGCATTCCCCTCTTTATTTCCATGCCTGACTATGCTCTCCTAATCCATTGATACCCCATGCCTTGTGAAATAATAATTGCTTTTTCTCCCCAAGGCCAGTTACATTTCAGAGGAAATGCCAGTTGATGCTTTTAAAATGTCAGAATTTCTACAAATCTCTTAGATCACTTATTTGAGGAGCTATCCATCTTGCTGTCACTAAGCCCCTTAGTGCTGAAATCCATGGCAGAAGTGTGATCCCAGGGTCCAGGTGCTATTAGCTTTGCTGCCCTGAAGAATGGGGGCAGCTGGACAGAAACTAGGGCAGAGCAGCCCACCTTGTCACAGGAAGAGAAACCTAAGCTGGTGGCTTAGGGAGCAGAGCTCAGGCCGGCCTGCCTGCGGTGACACTACCCTCTTGAACAGCTTTCTGGAGGACTAACCTTGCTCTTGTCTTGTTGTCTCTTCACAGGGATTGACTACCTTCACCCGGACCTTGCCTCCAACTATGTAAGTACAAACTGACATTGGTGGAGAGAAGTGTGTGTTAAGCGTTTTGGTGCCCCTGGTTGCTGGGAACACAGTCACATGCACAATGCACAGGAGCAAGCATGCAGACACATCAACAGGAACACATGCACACAGCATGCACGAGAACACATTCAGGCACATATGCACACACATTTACACAGTAATTGAGATGATTCATTCAGAAACACAAGCAATGCATGCAGGAACCCACACATTCACAAACATACATATACAAACACATACAAATACTAGAACAACCCAAATGGTTAAGAGTCACAGTTGAAGTAATAAATCAAATGAACAAGGCCCGGGACCTAGCAGCAGGCTTGTTAAATGGCTGTATGATAAAAGAAGAAATAAAAACTTGAAGTCTAGGAAATAAGAGTACCAAGGTACTCTTACCAAGGTACAGGTAGAGGAAGGTACAAAAAAGAAAGGGACTTGGCAAGGCTTAAAGCAACTCTCGCTAACAATCCTTAGGGGAGGAAATGAGCCATTTGGGTTCTCACTTAACAAAACTGAAGGCAAAAAGACAAAAACTTCAGCAAAAATGTTACAGGCAAAGCTTCATGAGAGTGAGAACATTGCTTATGACCACTCCATACTTTTTCCCCCACAACACTGAGAATCCCAGTTAGTGGCCCTGGACAGCAGGAAGTTTTAGTCAAGAATCACAGCACGTGCTGCTGAACCGTCACATGCTGTGTTCCTGATAAAAACCACAGGCTTTTAAACATCATTGATCCCTTTATTCTAACTCTAACAAGCACAGTACTCAAGCCCTGGTATATTCGCTTAAAATTATACTCCTATTAACTCCAGACCTCAGTCTATAAAAGTGTTATCTTAGTAGTCACACACACTCATAATTAGGGGCACAGGGTTGAAAGGATGGTTTGCAAGCTAGAGCTTAGTGCTCTGGACATGAGCAATCAAGTCTACCAACAGTGAGAAAAACGGTTTACTACGTAGATCTTACAAACCCCAAGGGGTACAAATTGAGCTGAGCATTTTTTAATACTGAAAATTAAATGAATCATTGGCACAGTACAGGAAGAAAGGACAGATGATTAGCTGAAGCTAGACCCTCAGTGACAATAAACCACTTCTGTAGAACAAACAGTGAAAAACTACCTATCGGTTTTTAAGAGCAGAGTCAGCTCGGCGCTCCTGGCCCTGGCTGGCTCTTCCAGTGTCTGCTCTGTTTCCATCATCCCCCATAAGTGGAGCTCTGTCTCTGAAGCAGATGTTGGAAAACATTCAGGGCTCTGATGCCCCAAAGTGCCTTCCCAAGATGCACAGAGGTCCGCTGCACCTCTGGGACAAATCAGCCTGTGGAGCATTCTCACAGGGTTTTCCCCATTTTCCCAAAATGGAATTGCTCAACCTTAACACTTGGAGGAATTTCAAGTGTTGGAGGGCTGTCTGCTCAGCGTTTTGGAAAGCTGATGTTACGCTGCCTCTTTCCTGCACACACAGACCAGCCCCACCAAGGCCACAGATGAGACTGACCTCTGCACCGGTCCTGGAGTTTTTTGTCAGGCTGCTTCCAATGTCAGTGAACAGATTTAAAAAAGAGAGAGAGAGAGACTAATTAACACAAGGTGAAAAAAAAATTCCCCTAGGTATGATGAAATTGAGAGTGAAACATCCAAATTAAGAGATATTGGCTCTTCTTGGCTCTCCAACATCAGAATACAATTAGTGCCATGTTCTTCATTTCTTTTTGAAAAACACTTTTCCAAATTAAAGAAATAAATACATGTTTCCTGTAGAAAATTAAAACAGATTCAAAACCAGTCATAATATTGCTACTATCTTTAATGTTTGGGGCATTCCTTTCTATGTATATATTGGACTACTCTTGCATATTTAACATATCCCTGCCTACTTGATATGTAGTGTCCTTTTCATATTATTATATATTTTTCAAAACATGATTTTAAGAGCTACATTGCATTTTCGATGGCTATAAATCATTTAAACATTCTGATCCCCAAGTGTTGGACAAGTATGTTGCTTCCAATGAGTGTCTCACTCCAAAAGAGACTGTGAAAGCCTGACACAGTTGGCAGAGGGACACAACCTGCTTAAGCAGAAATAACTAGAATGTTTGTTCTAGATGGGAGAAAACTTCAGTTAGACCTTATGTTTTCAAATAACTCAAATTCCCCTTGGAGTATGAGGATCAAGAATTTCTCACAAGAAAATCCCTACCACTGGGTAGAACCCTGATGGGAAATTTGAATTCAGTCAAAGGAAGAAGTATGAAATGAATAAGGTTAGTAAATAAATGGAGTGGTGAGTTCTCCCTCTCTGCCAATGTTCAAAGCTAGAGTCAATTGCAACTTGGCAGGAATGTTGTTGGAAACATGTCAAAGGCTACCCCAGGCTTAACCTAGAAAATACCTAACAATCGAGTGAAAAAATGTGAGTTCTACACAAAAACATGAATCTTGATCGTTTCCATCCAGATATGCATTATCAGCATTTCCCAAACACTAGGAATCTTAGAAAGAATGTATATAAGGGAGGAAAATGAACATCCTAATGTCTCATTCTTTAATTTCATAGTAGAAAGCCTAGAGTGACTGGCTTTTTTCTCTCATACCATGCAGAATTAAGGGTGAATCTATTATCCACACTTATCTTCTTTATTTTTAATTAAAATGTTTACACTGTCACTAGCTGAGTGAGGATGGCAAGTGGAGCAGACCTGCTCAGGAGAGCACTGAAGGCAGTGGACAATACTAGGCTGGAAAACTGTTGGAGCAAAGGACTAGCAGGCGATTTCAAACCTTGTTAAGGGCCTTCATGGCTTGAATGTTATGCACTAGTCCAGTGCCCTTCTAGAGAAAGATGCTTTGGGGGAGTCTTTGGGTTTCCCCAGAAGCAGACCCTGAAAGAAGGATTTGAATGTTAGTAATCTATATGGCAAGTCGTTCCAGGAAGCAGATGAGGCAGAGAAGACAACAAACCTTGTGTTAACAAATCACAGCTGGCAGTGGGAACATAACCCCTAACTGTACATGATTGTTCCAAGTTATCCCAAATGGCAGGGAGCACCGGGAAAGCTAGGATATTTGTACACCAACTCCACTGGTCGTTGGTTGAGGATCAGCCCAGAGGATGTGAGTATCACACATTTTCCATCTCCCTGCAGCTCAGGAGAAAGCTCTTGCTTGACAAAGAGATACAAGGGAACGTAAGAATATTCCTGGGAAAAAAATAAAGTTAGAATACAAGTTTTTTGGGGGATAAAAATTGTTCACATTCATTTGTAATTTTTTCATAATGTTCATAATGCATTATTTTTCATGAATGTGTTAAAGAATCCTAATATGCATATATTCCAGTTTTGCGGCCTAAGTTTATGTTTTATTCTATTTTTTCCAAAAACTTTTTATTTTATTTGTCTTTATTTATTGGAGAGTGACAGAGTTACCACCTGCTGGTTCACTCCCCTAATGAACACAGTGGCCTTTTGGAACCAGGAACTCAATCCAGGTTTCCATGAGGGTAGAAGAGACCTAATCACTCAGAGTTGGCATTGTGGGAAGAGTGGGTTAAGCCATTATTTATGATGCCAGTATCCCATTTGAAGTCCTAGCTACTCTACTTCTAATCCAGTATCTTGCTAATGTGCCTGGGAAGGCCCAAATGCTTGGGCTTCTGGCATCCCTGAGGGAAACTAGGATGGAGCCCTCACATCAATACAGGGGAACGGATGTCAGATCAAACACATACATAGCAATGTCTGCAACAGAGATGATACCATGGAAATTTTTTAAAGCCCTTCCTGATTTATGTTTGGTGAGAAGTGAAACTGTCCCTGAAGGTTTTCAAAATTTTTTTTCTTAATAATAAAACCAGGCAAAATTTTCCCCAAAACAGGTCATTCCATGTGTCAAGAAAAGAAGGTGAATGTGTGGGTAGTCCAGTGTTCTTTCCACTAAACTTGAAATTGTAATACTTTGAAAACTAAAAATCGATATGTAAATGTAAGTAATTAGTGCTAATTTCATTCAGCAAATCCTACACTGACTGTTGAGTGTTAGGCACAAATGATAATAGCCACTTATTTTATTCCTTTATTTGAAAAATATGAGGGACCCAGTCCCACTGGGAAATGCTCCCTATCCCAACTAATTAAAATTTGTCCTTTTCTTCCCCATTAGTAATAACACAGAGAGAGTACTGTCCAAGATCCTGCTGTAGAGCAAGTCCAAAGAGTGCCCCTCACATCATGGTCAGGATAGTTTATCCCACCCAGGAAGCACAACGTCTGTGTCTTAACCTGGCATGTGCAAGCTGCAGAGGAAGAGAGATACATAAAAAGCAAGCATTCCATGAAGCATCCTTCAGGTCAGTGAGAATGCAGGTGTGTGACCCCTGCCTCTGAGGTGAAGGGCAGATTTGCAAGGAAGTCGTCCTGCTCTTCACTATGTGGCTCCCAGTCCAGTGATAATTGTATGCTTATGATCATGGTAATGTTCCAAGCCTATGGGGCTCTCAATTTTTAATTACTACAATTAAACACCTGAGGCAACTAACTTTAAAAAGAGCATAGTGTCTTTAACTCACAGTTGTGGAGGTTCAAGTTGAAATTGGGTAGCCACATTTTTTTTCTTTTGTTTTATGACACAGTTTACACTGGTGTCTCCCTTCCCCCTCCCACAACTTCCCTCCTCTCCCCACCAATCTCTGCTCCAGTCTTACAGTGGGTGTCTTTCATGACCTTTCACAAGTCCATCGTGCTGGGCAGCCACATTTGTTCAGCCTCTGCTGGGGAGTGGTGCACAGCAATGACAGTATGTACAGAAGGATCATGTGGTAAGTCAGGAAGTGGAGAGCGGCCAGGCCCAGACTTGGGTTTTTATTATAACAACCATCTCCCCAGATTTACCTTCTGAAGGCATACATCCAGTGACCTAAGGAACAAGCCCACTTCCTAGACACCATAGTTGCATAGTAGAACT